TAGGCCTGGATAACTCCAAAACATGGCTTACTGGTGAATCCCAATGCATAGGACGCAGTGTCCTTAGAGAAGCCGTTTCCAGGTAAGTTTTATTATTATATCTAGAGCAACATCTGTGTTGTGATTGCCTTTAACACCTGTCTTCGCTTGTTAATCACCATTTTACCTTAGAGTAGACCTCACATGCCAAACCTTCTTGCACTGACAACTCTCTAATTTGAAATAATAGCATTTGTCTCAACTGTATTTTTTACATTATTTTTTTTATTTCATGTAGGCAGAGCTATGTAGCTATTTATGGCTTTAGTATGTTTTATTCCACATTAACATAAGTGAAAAACCAAGTTAATTTAAAGGGACATATTAAGGGAATAACATCAGGATATTGTCAAAATCACAACAGTAGTATCATTATTAGAACAAAAAATTCCATTAATCCATATTTGATGAGCTTCCCTCACACAGTAAAATGTGGCATTTGACATTGCAGCGAAAAGCTCCAGTGGAGAGAGCAGTGGACCTAAAGCCCACTGTGCAAGTTGCAGTTTTCTTGGCCATGAACAGTATTACTTTGGCAAGTCCGTGCTTTCCATGCCTCAGTTTCCTTGTCTGTAAATATAATGCATGACGATAGTAATGACCCTGCCTCTGTCACAGACCCATGGTCAAATATAAGAGAAAAAAAACAAACTGTGCTTTTAAAGATTTTTTTAAAGATTTTTTTAAAACTTTAATTGCTGGGGGCACCTGAGAGGCTTCATCGGTTAAGCATCTGACTTGATTTTATCTTAGGTTATGATCTTGGGGTCATGAGATCAAGCCCCTCATCAGACTCTCTGCTCAGTGGGAAGTCTGCTTGGGATTCTCTGTCTCCCTCCGCCCCTGCCCCAACTCATGCTTGCTCACTTGCGCTCACTCTCTCTCTCTCTCTCTCCAATAAATAAATAAATAAAATCATTTAAAAAAATTTTAGTTGCTGGGAAAAATATCACTTGTTATTATCAATTTCTAAGATCCTGCCTCACAAATTGGTAGGAGATAGCTTAGAAGATCCATGTGGAGATTCATCTACCTCTTAACATGTTTTAGGACCAGATGGACATAATAGCAATCTGGTTTTTATTCTTTACAAATATGCCACAGAAGCAAATTTCGAGTATTTTATCCAGGTTTGAAATAAACCTGTTTTGCAATGAACAGAGCTCAGGGAAAGAAATTAACATGGTGAAGGGAAATCTATGCAGATAAACAATCACACAAGTTTTTTTCTGTGGAGTTTGACATGTAAGCTGAAATCTTAGTGGTGAACAAAAAAAACGAAGAGTATTTCTATGAAGGGAACAGCATTTGCAGAGGGTAGAAGACGGTTGCTGTTTCCCATGAACAAAAGATGGCCGGAGCCTGGTGGACAGACAGGAGAGTGGATGAGATGAGAATGGGGATGTACGTCAAGGCCAGGACATCTAGGGCTGTACGGGTCTTAGTAAAGGCCTTGGGTTTTATTCTAAGCGTTTTGGGACACCATATAGGAGTTTTTAAAAGGTGGTTCAGTCTTCCATATTTAAGTTTGAATACCAGGCTTGTCAGAGAAACCAGTGTGGGAGAAACCATAGAAGTCTGGGTGAGGGCCAGTGGTCTTAGCTGGAATGTGGCTGCTTCATGAAGCCTGCCTGACTTCCCCCATCTCTGCCTTGGTCCTCAAAGCCCCCTCCCTCCCCAACACCTTAGATGACTCCTTTTATGTATTAGCACTGTTCTGCATCACTCTTAATATCCCCACCCTCCACCACCCAGATTCTTGACTTAAAAACCATATCTATTCAAGCTTTGAACTGCCCACAAAACTGACTTTTGTGTCTCCCATCTAATAAATGTTCCGTAAATATTTGTGAAATAAATTAATACACAACAGTGGTCTCAGTAGCCACGGTGCCTTAAATCACCTAGAGAGATTGAAAATGTGGATGTCGGGCCACACCTCCAGAGATTCTGACTCACATGGTTTGGTGTGTTTGGTGTGGTGGGAAAAAAAAAAAAAAGAAAAGAAAAACTCTGATGATTCTGGTGCGCAGTTAGGAGTGGTAAGCCACCAGGGAACTCGGCTGATTCTGGGTGGTCTTGCCTGAGAATATCATGCTTGCCCTACCCCTTTAAATGCCTGTACCTTTACCTTGTCCTCATGAATGTCAAAGGCATGACAGAAATGCCCTAGTTAACTGATCTTTAAAGTTATTCAGTGACTACAGAGCCTATTGCATTGAGGTAGCCAGACACACGCCCTCCGTTATCACTGATCCAGGGTATGCTTGCTATCAATCAGTTTGCCTTTGGAAGAGAAGAAAGATTCCTGTTTTTCACTGGACATCCAGAATTTGACTCGCCTGTTTTATCAGCCATGGACCCCGAAAACACCAAACCAACAAAGGGGTTAAAACATGGCTCCTTCAAGCCCACAACTCACAAAGTCTGGCAATGATGTGTTTGTGCAGTTGTTTTGATTTCAGACGGAGAAAGTCTTATTTAACTCTCTATAATGTGTATGTAATAATATAATTTTAAGGCACCTGCTTCAAAATAGAAACTGGGATGGTGGAGATAATAACCATAAACAAAAATTAAACCAAACCGGGCTCAGTGCCCAGGAAAAACTACTGAGATTTCCAAGAAGCAGGCAAAGAATCAGCTAGGAGAAAGAACGAGACGGGAATGGCTGGGTGGTGGCGGCCTCCTGGACGGGGAGCGCTCTGCAGGGTGACCTCCCAGCAGGTCTGTGGGGCAGTTGTCTGCGGATGGGGCTCCTGCCCTTCGCGTTTCAGTGACCTTCCGGTGGAACGTGCTTTCCTCAAATGTCAATTCTTAACACACCAGTAGCTACAGTGATCCCACATGATGTCTGAGTTTTTATAATGCTGTAAACCACTTGAAAATAAATGGACAAGAAGTAAAAAAAAAAAAAATAGGCAGTCATAATGACTTTAAAGCTAGAAGGAAAACTTCATGTTTCCCAGGATGCCTAAATGTCGTGTGATTTACATAAACAAAAGAGGAAATCCTCTCTGTGTTTAGGGGGTGTGCCTAATACAGGAACCCATGCTTTCCTGTTATTGAAAAGTATTCTTTAATCTTTAAGCACATTTTAGGACCTGCCTGTATTCCAGGTGTGTTGTTTCCTCTTACATGAAAACAGAAGAACACAGGGCATGGCTGTCAGAAAACCTATTAGATCTCCTAGGAGACACATGAAATAAATGAATTAAATTAAATGGATAGACAGAGCCCTGGGCCGGCTGATACTGTAGCCTGAATTTAGTTTGGGGGATGGTTATTCCTACGAGGACATAACAGACTCATACAGGGAGCCGTAAGCTACACACACAGGCTGTGTGTGAAGAGAAGACTATAAAATTTCCACTGATCTTGGTGTTAAGGGGATGATGACTTTTTAACCATGAAAGTAAACGTAATTGGTATGAAATGTTCAGAAGCTTCTAGCCAAATATAACTGACATAATGCGTAATAAAGTGAAGCATTATTTGAAATTATTTTTTAAAGATTTGCTAAATCCTGGTTTGGAGTAAAGATTGTACTGAGGTCCTAAAAAAAGGTCTTTAGTCCTAGAACCATAAGGCTCCCACAGATGTAAAGGCAGGGTGCCCACATTTCATTCACCTCTTGGTCCCTGCCTTCCTGCTTTAATGACCCACGATACTGAAATTGCCCTAAACTCTTCTATGCATGAAGGAGAGAATTACCAGCAACCATGACTGGAGTAGGTGCTTCCTGTCCTTCATCTCTTAAGGATTCTCTTTGCCATCTGCTGAACATCTGCATAGTTACTTGGAAATGTAGGCTCTCTAATTTGTAATTCGAAACAAAGAATGTGCCACTGATGCACCGTCTTTTTAGGATTGCATTCATTACAACAAATAGGACTTTCCACTTTTCCTTGTTCCCTTAAATAGCATCATTTCTGTTAAACTTTACAACTCCTACAGCCAGGCCTCAGGAGGAGCTTTTAGGAAAGCCCTTTTAAAACACTTAATTAGCACCCTACCCTGGAGGCTCTAAGTCATGAAGTAAGCAGATGTAAAAATATCCACAGTGACTCACTCCTAGTGGCTGGTGCTTGACCTCTGTCTGAGAGGTGACACTGTCCATCCTCAGCATGGAAGGGGCAAAGGAAGAACTGACTACAGCTGGGAGGAGGAGCTGTCCTGGTCCTGCAGTTGTGGTGACCTCAGGATGGGGGTGGGGGCATGAATGCTAAATACAGTCAGAAACAGATGCAGGGACACCCAGGTGGCTCGCTGGTTGGGTATCTGCTTTTGGCTCAGGTCATGATCCCGGGGTCCTGGGATCAAGTCCCTCATCGGGCTCCCTGCAGAGAATCTGCTTCTCCCTCTGCCTGTGTCTCTGCTTCTGTCTCTGGGACTCCCATGAATGAATGAATGAATGAATGAATGAATGAATGAATAGAAAGACTAGATTCAAGTAGACGATATTTTTAAAGCCAAATAATTTTTTTAAGAGGCATTTCTCCCAATCTCACCACTGAAGCTTGATATATTTATACTGGAAATATGCACTGGATTTCCCTAGGGAAAGCAGTAACCTCCGCTTCCTTTAAAATTCAGCCTTTCCCAGTGACCTCTACCTGACGCCTGTCAACCGTGTGTGCTTCCTTCCCTGCAGTTGGTCATCGTGTACACGTAGCCTCCCTTAAAAGCACTTGGAATTAGACAGTTGAGTCGCGTTCAGTTTGAATGGATAAAGACGTAAATGAAGCAGCCCTCACATAATAATTATATTGTAATTGCTTGAGAGTGGAGAGTATGACTTCTATTTCTTTTGAGTACCCCCCCTTATCAGAGGCACACATGATCATATTCTGTGTGCGTGTGTGTTTGTATACATGTGTGGATGCAAAATAGAAGCACCACTGAATGAAGAAATAAACCAACCTGCACACCCACTAATCTGAACGGTCTTTTCTTGGCAGTGACAAACAAGAAACCCACACAAGCATCCATCACGAAGGTCAAACAGTTTGAAGGCTCCACGTCATTCGTGCGGAGATCGCAGTGGATGCTCGAGCAGCTTCGCCAGGTTAATGGCATTGACCCTAATCGGGTGAGTGAATGTCCAGTGTTGGGAAAAGGTGTTCTCTTCACACAATGACTCTCACTGACCTTGGCAGTGGTGGTGGTTGAGTCATTTCTAACAAAGCTGTTTCTCTATTTCAGTTGTGTAGCTGAGGCTTTCTGATCTCTGGGTCCTTATGGGGAAGGTCGTGTTTGATGCAGAAATGTGAAGGGATACATATTGAAGAAATGTGGACTCCTAGATGTTTATCAGCCAAGTGCAAAGGGCAAAGTTGAGATATCATGTCTATGGTTACCAATGTGAAAAACCCCATTTATCAAAGCTTCGTTTACTCTACTCCTAATACCACCAGTGATGAAATTTATTCACCAAAACAAATAGATGTCACCTTACAAATTATGTATTATGATTCTCTTGGATTTAACATGAGAAGCATTGTAAGGTAGAATTATTTATTTAAGTATTTTCCCTTTTGCTCACACATACTCAGGATACAAAACCTCAATAATGAGGAAAAATAAACTATAAGTTGTAACTACACACTAAAAATAATAAGGGAGAATTTTTTCTCTAAGATTTTGGGGTTTGCTTGATAAACAGAGAAAGGTGGACTTTCTTTCCATGCACCTGAGTGCTAATAAAGATGAGCCTTGGGAATAAGACCAAAGTTTTGAAAGGCCTTTTTTCCTCTGTGAGTCTATTGTCAGGAGTAAGCTGGAAGCAGCAGTTTTTATAGATTCAGATCAGTGGGTATTTCACTGTCTTTTCCAGGATTCTGCAGAGTTTGATTTGTTGTTTGAAAATGCCTTTGACCAGTGGGTAGCCAGCACAGCCTCAGAAAAATGCACCTTCTTCCAAATCCTCCACCACACCTGCCAGAGGTACCTCACCGACAGGAAGCCGGAGTTTATTAACTGCCAGTCCAAAATCATGGGAGGTGAGTGGGCATTTGCATGAGTTTGGTCATTCTGTCTACTTACACTAACTTTTACATAAAAAGTTAGGTGCTCTACAGCATAATTAAAGACAAAAAGAAAAAAAGAATCCAGATGCTCAGAGTTGGACAGCATGAGAACCATTCTAGGGAATTTGTTGTGTGCTAAATCTCAACACAGTGGCATGTTTTCACTCTTAACCAAAAGCTGGTCCTTTTAGAAGAATTAGCCATCTAGCTAAGATTATTTATACTATAAGAACAAACCTGTCCCTTTATTAGGAAAACCTTTCGGTTTGGTTTCTCTACTACCCTTTCTATACTCACATTGCAGAACACTGTTTTCCAGGCTGCTTTTCCTATTATTTCTCAAGGCATTTTACAAATGTTGACCTACAAATTCTTACAGATGTAGTCCCTTCCTTTCAGATAGCAGCTAGTCTCACGTTTATCCCTCGGATGGCATAGAGAGCAGAGTTAGGCTGAGTGCTGTAAGCCAGCCTTAAGGGGTGAGTACCAGTGTTGGCAACTTAATGAGAAACATTTAGAGGGTGCTTAACACATTTCTTCTAGGTGGCATTTCTTTTTAGGGAATTGAAAGTGAGCTAAAAATATTTTTAAAAAACCTTGCCAGTCACTCTGTGTGTTGAGGAAGAGTGTTTCTTTTTTTTTTTAAAGATTTTATTTATTTATTCATGAGAGACAGAGAGAGAGAGAGGCAGAGGGAGAAGCAGGCTCCATGCAGTGAGCCCGATGTGGGACTCGATCCCGGGTCCCCAGGATCACGCCCTGGACTGAAGGTGGCACTAAACCGCTGAGCCACCGGGGCTGCCTAGGAAGTGTGTTTCTATCATTGCTCTTTTCACTGACCCGTTCTCCTGGTTTTACAAAAAAAAATTTTGTGCACCAACTTGATCTTAATCAAATGTCAGAGGAAGGTCACAATATAGACATCACTTCTTCTCCTTGGGCTATACCTGTCTTTCTAATGAACGTGGCATGGAACCCATAATTTCGCTATAGCACCTGACATACATAGTGCCATTTTGCCATTAGTCTTCTAGATGTCGTTAGAGAAGATGGTGGTCAGTGCTTTGTTGTAACCCACTGAAACGTTGGTGTTCATCTTGAACAGTAAGTTGCTTGCAGCATAAAAACCTAGAAACGTCTTCCTTAGGCATCGATGCAGTGTTTTAGCTTCTCCATTTAGTCCTGGAAAAATGTCAGAAGTGATGACTAGTGTGTATTTTCTTCAAAGTGGCCCCATCCTGTGTACAAAAGTAAAAATTATTAGATGTAAGGGCACCTGGGTGGCTCAGTTGTTGAGCATCTGCCTTCAGCTCACATCATGATCCTGGGGTCCTGAGATTGAGTCCCGCAACAGGCTTCCCGCAGGGAGCCTGCTTCTCCCTCTGCCTGTGTCTCTGCCTCTCTCTGGTCTCTCATGAATAAATAAAATCTTAAAAAAACAAACAAACTGTTAGATGTAGATGCTGAAAGGAAAGAGATCATCTAACACCAACCTCTTAGTGTTTAGAAAACAGAATGAGATGCTGCTTGCTATCCTGTCTGTGCCACAGGGCTCTTCACATGAATCCCACTCGCAAAGCTGAGCTGTAACAGACCTGGCAGGTCCGAGCACACCAGGCTCAGGACCACAGATGACTCAGTGTTTCAGCAACTGGAAAAATTGGCCAGGAAATCCCAACTTTCCCTCATTCTTCATTAGATAGGAATTTTCTCCACTGTCCTAGAGTCAGATTTGTTTCTTGGTCTCACGGTCCTACTAGGAAACATTTTTCCACTGGCATCATATGGCCAGTAGCATACACGGATAGCATATAAGCCGAGTGTCATTACGGGCTTAAAATTTCTGTTGCCCTTCGAGATAGACTCCCCTCTTGCATTCCACTTCTGCATGTTCCATCTTGAGAGCACAGTGGCCAGAAGCAGAAACAGTGCCATGGGAATTGCCACATTTCCTCAGAAGGGAAATGTGAGGCAGAGCAGGAGGGCAAGAGTCTTGTCCTTCCTGCTAAGATTGAGAAGAACTTTGGTAGCTCTGTGGTCCCTCTGTCCACTTACTAGCTGGTCCCTCTTCTCTGTTGCCTCTGAAGCTCTCACTTCTTTTCTCCAAACAGTTCCTTTCATGCATTCATTCAGTCAGTTCTGGTTCATCATCAAAGTTATGTAGCAATTAAGCACTGAGTTCCTACTATGTGCTGGTCACTGTGCTATGTCCTTGATATGGAGAGTCATTCTACATTTGGTTCCTTAATAGACCCCAGTTTCAGGCACCTGGGTGGTTCAGTCGGTTAAGTGTCTGCCATCAGCTCAAGTCATGATCCCAGATTCCTGGGATCGAGCCCCACTCTGGGCTCCCACTCAGCAGGGGCGCTGCTTCTCCCTCTCCCTCTGACCTGCCCCACCCACCCCACCCCCGCCTCATGTTCTCTCTCGCTCACTCTTTCTCTCTCAAATAAATCTTTAAAAAGACCTTAAGAAAAAAAAAAAAGACCTAAGTTTCACTACCCATATTGCAGACTGGCAGGTCCCTAAAAACCTTACTCTATGCTCTTCATTACCTCCTTGAATGTCCTCAGACCTTCCCATACAATTCCACCCAGCTGCTTTTTCCTGTCATTGACCCAGCCCTAAAGAGGTTTTCTAGCGCCCTACGAACCCCAAATTGTGCAGAGCTAAAACAAGAATCCATTTATCAATGTTAAACTGTCAGTGTGTGTGTGTTAGATAAAGCTAAAGATTGATTTTTTATCCTAAGGAAAGGAGTAAATTAATGAGACCAAGTGCCAGAACTGAGCCTATCTTTTTTTCTTCTTATTTAAAGATTTTATTTATTTATTCATAAGAGGTAGAGAGAGGCAGAGACACAGGCAGAGAAGCAGGCTACATGCAGGGAGCCCAATGTGAGACTCGATCCCCGGTCTCCAGGATCACGACCTGGGCCGAAGGCAGGCGCCAAACCCGTGAGCTACTCAGGCATCCTTGACCTTATCTTTTGTGACCATAGACACGTATCTCATCTTTTTTAGACCTCACTTTTTGCTGGTGTGACATGTAGAGGTTGGCTGAGAGATCAAAAATCCACTTCAGGGATCCCTGGGTGGCGCAGTGGTTTGGCGCCTACCTTTGGCCCAGGGCGCGATCCTGGGGACCCGGGATCGAGTCCCACGTCGGGCTCCCGGTGCATGGAGCCTGCTTCTCCCTCTGCCTGTGTCTCTGCCTCTCTCTCTCTCTCTCTCTCTCTCTCTCTCTCTCTCTCTCGTGAATAAATAAATAAAATCTTTAAAAAAAAATCCACTTCAGTTTTAGTATTTTGAGAATCTGTGATGCCCGAGTTATAGCTTTATCGTGTAGATTAATCCCTTCTGAATTTAAGAGTCAAATTGGCACAATTAAATATTGACTGGTCTTGGATTCCTAAGAAAGGCAAAACAGTTTGAACTGAGCACATTGTAATTTGTTGGTAGCACATGTGTCCTTAATGAGCACAGCCGGTCTTATTTAAACAGTTGCTTATCCTTGATAACAGTTGTACCAACACACTCTAGTTAATTGGCATGCAGACTAGTCTTCCTTTCTGCCACTTACCACAATTCAGTCTTAAAATTGTGTAATTCCTGGGTCACCACATTCTGACCCCTTTAGCTTTTGAGGGTACCTACCCCATCTTCAGCAGATGAGAGCAGTTCCAAATTTTGCAGTATCTTTTGGTCTGTCCTTCTAGAATGAGCCATACATCCCAGACACAGTTATTTTCTGAACTCTGAAATGTCATGGATTTTGTGGTTTTAAAGAACTAATATCGGTGTTGGTACGCTTCCACTACACCAGTTTCTTTACGTGTGTTGTCGCATTTTGCCTTTACCTCAGCCTTTGAAAATGTGGTTTACTACCTCCATTTTACAGAGAAGGAAATAGAATCAGAGAGATCATTAAATAGCTTGCCCAGGGTCACGTAGCTAGTGAGTGGCAGAGAGGAGATGCAAACACAGGCCTTCTCCATTCTAAAAGCATCTTCCTCAAGGCCACTGAGTGCCACGCTCCAGACAGCGCACTGATATCTTTGCTGTGAATGGTGTCCCCTGAGGCTGTACAGGAATTTGGGGGACATATTTAGCTGGCACGTCCCTAGACTTTAAAAAAGGGAGATAAGGGGAACGGGCCAGAGATTATAGATACTTTTCATTTTTTTCCCTAGTCTTACAGTAGGTATGTTATTAAGATAATAACTTAAGTATTTGGGGGCAGAGGGGCAGATCCTAAGAGTAATGGAACTATCAGAGGCCTTTCAAATTACCTTGTTCTTTATAGTTTTTGTTTTCGTTTTTGTCCGTCTGAACCTCAACATATTTTTTTTAAAGATTTTATGTATTTATTGAGACAGAGAGAAAGGCAGAGACACAGGCAGAGCTCCACACAAGGAGCCAGACATGGGACTCGATCCCGGATCACCAGGATCACACCCCAGGCTGCAGGCAGCACCAAACCACTGCGCCACTGGGGCTGCCCTGAACCTCAACATATTAAAGAGCTGAGCTACTTTTTTGGCTGGGGAAGATGATGGAGACCTGGCCACTCCCTGGAGCTCAGGTACTCCACATCTGGCTCAATCCTCTCGCTAGGAAAACTAAAGCGCAGTGATTATGACTAAGTTTACCAAGATCACAGTCCTGGAAGCAAGTCTGCCTGACTTCCACCAAACTACGTTTTCTTTAATACCAGTTCAAACAGGATCATCATTTAAATACCTACAGTCCCATGCAGTTCTTCTCTTATATTTATTGATTGAATATACCCCACGTGACCATGTTTTTCCTTTTTCCCTCAGGGGAAATCAGCTACATAGAACTGGTTTCTTTGGCATGCTTGAAATTCTCTCATGCAAACATGATACTCTCTCTCCAGAGAATAGGCTGGGAAGCTTTGATCTTCTGTTCCTGGTTACAGAATCCAGGAAACACGCGTACAGTCTGTAGGGC